ATCTTCCTCTGTTATGTTGCCTGTTGACAGAGGTCCGTTAGCATCCATAATATATATAAAACGACATTTGAAAATTATCCCGCATGAGTTTCTTTTCAACGTAAAACCAAAATTTATTCCAAGGAGAAATAACGATTATTTCCAACCTTAGGGATGAGGTATGAATGGATGAATTGTGAAGAGTAATGATAAACGGAAAAATAAAAGTGTCCAGGGATGAGAATCGAACCCACAGTGTTCAGCTTACTGGGCAGATGCCATGTCCACTAGGCTACCCTGGACATATTTTTCCGTTCGTAAATAATACATAAAGTAATTTATATTACAATATAATATAAACTCATGCGGGATAGTATTTCAAATATCGTTTTATAATCATAAGCCGCATTATATTGTATTGTAATATAATTTATATACTAAACCATGGAAGGTCCCAAGGATCGAGGACGTGGACTTGACTCGCATCTCCCTTGACATTTGCATCGTGACAACTACAAGTTCGGTTTTGTTTGCTTAGTTTCTGATAATCTGACCTGGTCCACAATACAATGGCTTAGTACGCTTTCTAGATAATTCTCAATTATACCAAGACAAGTCTAAGTTCTTTGTTACCTGTTTAAAATCCAAGACCCAGTCTTGGTAAAAGAAACCGGTCAATGGGTTCTGAACCTTATCCATACGATTCTTGACAGTACCATGACAACTCCATCATCTGGCTGGTCTCTGAGATACCAGACTCTGTTCTGTTCTATAGCACAATGGATCTGCATCAAGTCTAAGTTGTTTATTACCTGTTTGATATACAAGAAACCAGTCAATGGTTCTGAACCTTATACATACGATTCTTGACAGTACCATGACAACTCCATCATCTGGCTGGTCTCTGAGATACCAGACCCTGTTCTGATCTATAGCACAATGGAGCTGCACCAAGTCTAAGTTGTTTATTACCTGTTTGATATACAAGAAACCAGTCAATGGTTCTAAACACTTTCCATACGATTCTAGACAGTACCATGACAACTCCATCATCTGGCTGTTCTCTTAGATACCAGACCCTGTTCTGATCTATAGCACAATGTAACTGCACCATGGTAACTCCAAGTTCTTTGTTACCTGTTTGATATACAAGAAACCAGTCAATGGTTCTGAGCCTTATCCATACGATTCTCGACAGTACCATGACAACTCCATCATCTGGCTGGTCTCTGAGATACCAGACTCAGTTCTGATCTATAGCACAATGGATCTGCACCAAGTCTAAGTTGTTTATTACCTGTTTGATATACAAGAAACCAGTCAATGGTTCTAAACACTTTCCATACGATTCTTGACAGCACCATGACAAATCCATCATCTGGCTGGTCTCTGAGATACCAGACTCAGTTCTGATCTATAGCACAATGGATCTGCACCAAGTCTAAGTTGTTTATTACCTGTTTGATATCCAAGAAACCAGTCAATGGTTCTGAACCTTATCCATACGATTCTCGACAGTGCCATGACAACTCCATCATCTGGCTGGTCTCTGAGATACCAGACCCTGTTCTGATCTATAGCACAATGGATCTGCACCAAGTCTAAGTTGTTTATTACCTGTTTGAAATCCAAGAAACCAGTCAATGGTTCTGAACCTTATCCATACGATTCTCGGCCATGACAACTGCAAGTTCTTCATCATTTTGCTGGTCTCTGAGATACCAGACCCTGTTCTGATCTATAGCACAATGGACCTGAATCAAGGCAAGTCTAAGTTGTTTGTTACCTGTTTGATATACAAGAAACCAGTCAATGGTTCTAAACACTTTCCGTACGATTTTCGACAGTACCATGACAACTCTATCATCTGGCTGGTCTCTGAGATACCAGACCCTGTTCTGATCTATAGCACAATGGAGCTGCACCATGGTAACTCCAAGTTGTTTATTACCTGTTTGATATACAAGAAACCAGTCAATGGTTCTGATCTCTTTCCATACGATTCTCGACAGAACCATGACAACTCCATCATCTGGCTGGTCTCTGAGATACCAGACCCTGTTCTGATCTATAGCACAATGGATCTGCACTATGGAAAGTCCAAGTTGTTTGTTCTCTGGCTGAACCCAGCTCTGGTCGACAGCACAATGGTCTGTTCTGTTTGTCGTCAGCCACCAGGTCCGTCGCAGGAAATTGTCCATGGCGCCACATGGCGTCCAGAAATAGATGTTTGGGGAATAAACCATCTGGACCTCCATGGACTCTCAGCCTGCTCTGCCCCCATTTCCGCTCTTCGTGGACTATCTAAACCGGAGAGTTATCAAAACAATTTCAATTCATATATATATATATTGAAGAGAGATTTGGCAATCCATATTTAAAATTATATTTAAAAAAAAATATTATTAGCTGTGTATATATACTGAATACAATATTTAAATCAAAGATACAATTCTTTCATTGGCCTTGTAGAACGAGAGTGGTGTACGCGTGCTCGCATGTTTTAGTGAAAAACACAAACATCCTCGATAAAGAGAGGCGAGTTGCCCCTCGAAATATTGGAACAATAAAATAACTAGAAATCCAATATATGCATCTTTTTTAAATATATATATATATCTTATAAAAATAAAAAAGAGATTTGGTTTTCTGCTTGATTTTTGATCATGTTGAGGATTATGGTAATGGAAATGCAGTCGTGGTTAATAATTTTGAAAGAATAATAGCAATATTGAATATTAGAGATTTATTTATTTGAGCTAAGGGATATATGCATAAAAAAAAACAATTTGATAAAAGTACTGCCTGGATTAAGGCGAGTAGAACGAGGAAAACAAAAGATTATTTACATAATGTACAAAAGTTTTGAGCCGGCCAACGGGGAAGAACAACAATGAGTTTTATAGGGGAAGTATGACCTCTGGCGGTCGAATTAACAATATTTGTATCTATGAAATATATTTTTAAAAATATATAATAATTTAATATAACATATATATGTATATTTATCAACACCTTCTGGAGATTTAGAAACCCACTGAAGACGCGAAGAACTATTTCAGAAAAGAAAAATATAGCAATAGAACTCTATAATTTATACAGATCAATTATAAATAGATTCATACACAAAAGAGGTAGTGAGGAGGAAAGTTTTAGAACAGATGTGTAAATAAATCCCTTTTCAAACAAAGGCTCACGTGCACATTCCCCATGTGGGAAAAAATTTACTGTATTATTTTGTTGTTGTATGGCGAATCCATACAGGGCAATGGGCCCTAATAAAAGTCTTTTTGTTGTTGTTGTATATTTATCAATTATTTTTATCTATTTATTCATATTTTTATCAGTATATAATCATATTTATTCATATTTATATTTATTCTGTATTTAACCTTATATAATCTTATATGGACTTTGAAATAAAGTAGTTTCAATATCAAAAGAATTTCAAGCTTAATAGAAAACAACAACCCTATAAGCTTTGAAAAAGGCTTAGTTTCTTCAGTTTAGGCTTCAATGCCCAATTTTCTTCAAGATATTTTTATTTACATATCGACTTATACATTTTTACATTTATCTTCATTTGCTTAAGCTCCAAAATGATTTTTTTTTCTTATCCCTAAGTACATGTGGTATACATATAAAATGAAAGGATTTAAAAGCACGAATGTTTCCTTTATACATAATACAAACTTCTACTGCCCTTACTGCGATGAAAAATATATTAGGAGGGCTTGGCTCATCAGTGGTGAACTCTCCCAGCGGTTTCGCCAATTTAATCCACCAGACCGCTTCTCAGAGATCTAATACTGTATTAGACGATTCTGCTTATATACGCAGCACTGAAGGTTGGAATCTCAGAAATGGATATATTTATATTTTTTCATCGCAGTAAGGGCAGTAGAAGTTTGTATTATGTATAAAAGAAACATTCGTGCTTTTAAATCCTTTCATTTTTTATATGTATAGATGGCGCGTTATTGCTTTGTGTTAACATGTGGTATAGGCCATGATAATCATGATGGGTAGAATTTGGCGACTGCTTTTACTGTAAGTACACCACATGTCTACATATGTGAAAATCAGTTCGATTTTACACTTACAAATATGCCAGAGCCCTGTTATGTTACTTGCACTCTCTGGTGGGGTTGGACTCCAAAATGAAATGAACAGATAGGATGACAAACAAAGAAGTTTGGATTCAAAGGAGATTCTTGAATTCTAAATGAAGTAATCAAAAGGAAATGGAGTTTGTAAGACATGTACTCTGAGTATCATTTGAGGGTTTAGGTTAGAAGATCATAACCTAATTGGCCAATTAACCGAAGAACAAATCATTTGCAGATTGTCTATTGTCCATCTTGGAGGAATCCACCCTGAAGAATAAAGAAAAATGTAGACCAAGGAAGGATTGGTTTGATAATCTAATAGAACAGTCTGGAATTAGAAGAAGAGATGAAGAGAATTGCTCAGAACAGGGCGAGATGGTATTCGATGATGGCCGACCTCTGTAACGGAGATGACTGTACTACATAATTAGGATTAAAATGCACATCTACAGCCGAATACACACACATGTATATGGAGTCTGAAAATAATATAAATAAAATCTAATCACATTTAATAGTAATAATTAAATATATATTGTTGCATTAAACAATCGTTGTAAACAAAAACTGAACTTCATGCAGTACCAGATCATTTTATGGGCAGTTAGAGCATACAAAACCACTTCATCAAACTGTGTGCATAGCTTGGCAAAAATTCCACTCCTAACAGATTATATAGAATCCAGAATAATCAAATTTGATCTAGCTCAAATGTCCATTGAAGATCTAATTACTTACGAACCCCATGCTCCAAGTATAGTCAAATCATTCTTACACGCAAAAATGAATGAAATTTTTGAGAACACTAATGAAATTTTCAGAAGCTTTTTCGTATTAGGAATTCCAAGATTTTTCCGTCCAAATTTTTATAATATCCAATTCATTACAGATCATGGCAATTTTGGGAAATTTTTGGCAACTATCGGCGCCGTGAAGGAACCAGGATGCTTCTGCGGAGGTGAAATTCAAGACGCGAGACATCTACTTCTGGAGTGCCCAATTTTCCGGGATTTTAGGGAAAATAGATTTGGTCGTATTGGACAGCTTGATGAATTTGTAGACAAAAAAGAAAAGTATAAAAATTTTGATCAATTTTGTAAATACATATACAACTTTCTCTTGAATTGGAAAAAAGAGAAGGAATCTTAGAAAAAAAAAAAAAGAACTGCGATGCTTGCTCTGTGTGTTTTGCT